AAAAAAAGTAGATGTTAGCATTCCTGATTGCTTCGTTTTACTGGGAAATCCCATCCCAGGTGTTTTTTCTCAGTGACACAGAGGAGCATGGGTTGGTTCTTTCAGAGGAACGGTGGAGGTGCTTCAAAGTGCTGCTGGCTGTGCTGTGCAGTGATAACTGCTCCATCATGGGGATAGAACTGCAGCTCACCTCTGCTGTATGAAGCAGCACCTGATTGAAGCACAGCTCACCTATAGCACATTACAGGAGGGTTGGGTGGATGAATGTCTTTAGGTCGAGGATGGGAGGAACTCTGGTTTTTGATCATCAGTCTTCAGGTTAAAATGCAGCTTCTTTGTCTATTGTTTTTATTTTTCAATTTTGAAGCTCAGCATCCAACCCTTGTAGCATTAAATTGGAGGTTTTCCCTCTAACAGAGATCTTAATCTGTAGTGTGTCTCCACCTTTTGTCTTACAGCATGCTGCACGGTGCAGCATGTGGGGAGGTCTCCTCCTGCAGCAGAACGCTCGACTCTAAACTGACACATTTCATTAGCTGTAGCTGTGTTCCTGTTAGATTGCTGTTGTCTTTTGGAGGGAGGCAGTCAGCAGCTGAAGCTGAACCCCACCTCCACCGTTCCTCTGGACGGACAGATCTCACAGCTAACCCCCTCCTCCTGCTCTTAGCTGCAGGTTTTGCATGTGACTCTGCCTTTTCTCCCTATAGACACATATATATACCCTGGGAGAATTATGAATGCCGTTGGTGCTTTAGAGGAAGAGAATATCAAGTGGGTCAGTATATCATTTACAGGAGCGGCTCTGAGGCTTTCAGCCTGGATCTGTCCAGACAGACAAGGTGGTAATTTAAAAATATCAGCGCTGTGATTCTTTCAGCAGCCTCAGCAAATCACAGAGCGATGGCTTCAACATCTGAGGGAACATACGGAGCTCCGTCACTGTCGAAGGACTGACCAGCAAAGTGTGTCCATCGTTACAGTGCACGCTTTGCAGAACGCATGGAAACCAGAGCTGTTTGTTTGGTCATGAGGGGATGTGATATAAAATCGATGAATTATCTTTAGGAACTTCACTGCAAAAGGTTTATTTAAAGTCTGCAGCAAAGCAAAATGGACCTAAATGGAGCTAAAACGCTGACAGAACAGACCCAAACCATGCTTCTACTGCCACCGTGCCTCACAGATACAAGAAGGATCAATTTAAATAAACATACTTTATAAATCCACAAGTTTTTCTATCCTTCCTGAGAAGCAGAGAGAAACTAGAAATGTATTCATTTTACGTCCAGCAGACAATAAAGATGAGTTCTCTGATAACAAGCATGTAAAAACGCTTTAAGTTCAGTTTTGAAGAGTCTTGGAAATGATTTGTTATATATTATAATGTTTTACTGTGTTTCTTTAAGCAGCTTTTTAACATTTTGTTTGATATGAATAAAGTTTTACTATTATTCATTTTTTCTAGTGGTGGGACTTGATTAAAATTCTTAATCAAGCGTTTTAAAAGGTCTGTAATTAATCAAAACTAATTGCATTGCAATTAAAACAACCATATATTATTAGAAAAATAAACCTTGGATTTGATTTAAAACCACTTTTTGCTCCAAATTAATTAAGTTAGAAAAATGAGCAAAGAAACATGAATATTGATTCTTTTTAATCCATTAATCAGGTCATTCAACCATCATATTGGTGGAAATTTATAATTATTTAGCTTTTTTTTTTAAACCTTTGATATTTTATACTTAACTTCTCTAAAAAGGCTCCTCTATAGAAGTTCGAACAGTCATTAACTACAGCATGATTTCTTCCATGAAATAATATGGTCAAAAGTATATATCATAGAAAACCACATCATTTAGTGCAATTAAAACATAGATACTACTGATACCACGGCAATAACTAGTGCAATGTATATAATGTGCAATTATTTAATACCCTGTTCAATAACCTGTTTCTTTATAACTGATACCCAGTGCTTTAGTTATGAAGATAGATACCCATCTTTAAAAATACCCTGTGCTATAACCCGTGTAATAATCCTGCTTTTATAAAAAAAAAACTTCAGCTGTTTATATATATATATATATATATATATATATATATATATTAATATATATATGTATATACATATATATATATGTTATAAAAATGCCATTTTTTACAATATAGAGTTTATGTGTTTCCCCTCCACCCCCATGTCCAAACGCCTTCCTGGGATGTAACGTCCTGCTGTGTCTGTCGGCCCCCGCAGGCATCGCCGTGGATAAGAACGGCCTGATCTACTTTGTGGACGGAACCATGATCCGTAAAGTGGACCGTAACGGAATCATCTCCACCGTGCTGGGCAGCAACGACCTGACCTCTGCACGACCTTTGACCTGCGACACCAGCATGCACATAAGACAGGTTAGCAAACAGCCGCTCTCAATGGGCCCTGCTGGTATTTTCGTTTGGGATTCAGGGAGCAGAGAGAACCGATCGAATCGATCAGAGCGGGAGTTTTTGGAGGGTGATCTAACTTCCATCCTGCTTCTTTTCTGTTCTTCATCCTCAGTTAATGTCCCTGTCACCTCTGTTGTCTGAATGCATTTACATTTAAAACTGGTTCACTATATTTGCAACTAAACAAGTGGCTCGCCAACCTGCTCCTTCTAGCATTTGGTTCTTCTGTTTGATTGTGACACATTCAGATCTTTGTTGCACAGTAATTAGGATCCCATTCAGTCTGAGTGGGAGTTTCACATATTCCCTGGTTAATATCTGTGTTACGGCCAATGATCCAAAGAAGAATCAAACTCAAAGTTCTTCTTCTTGCTTAGGTTCGATTAGAATGGCCCACAGATCTAGCCATCAACCCCATGGATAACTCCATCTACGTCCTGGACAACAATGTTGTGCTGCAGATCACTGAAAACAGACAGGTATGATTATTGTTTTGTTTCTTTTCCATCTAACATCTACGCTTCCTGACCTAGTCAAAGTTACTCTTTATCCAGTTTGTTCAAACCAAAGCTGTTTAGGAACATAAAATTAAGTCGCCACCCACTTAAGAGTTTTATTTCATATAAATCTAAACAAGCTGCTCTGAGACGGCTTGAGAGGGCTGTGAAGGAAGCCATCTGTTCAGGAAGAAAAACCAACCTTAAACAGAGGGGGTGGACTCAGGTTTCAGCTATTAAAAACCTACAATGCAGCAATAGAGTTAATTCCTTCCTGCTATCATCGCAACCCCAACAGACCAGGCCAACACCTCCCTTTAACGACCCCCCTTTCAGAGACATAGACAGGTACGGGACGGGGCATTGCAGGCTAACAAAAGAAGCCAAACGACCCTCATTACAAAGGGGTGGACCCGTTCGTCCGTTTCAGTTTGCATATTTTCTATACAAAAACAAGGCTTTGTTTTTGGTTCACTATAAAGCCTGGAACTCAACACTGGTTCTGACATTCTGGAGTCAAAAAGCTTCCTGAATGGGAGGCGAAACGTCTTCAAACAAAGTCCAGTGGATTGTTTTTTTAACTTTTTTTGGAATAAGATACTCAGAGGTTTCTAAGAACATTCTAGAATATAATGTATAAAAAGTTAAAGCTGTATGAAGCCTTCTGCAGAGGGCAGTAAATCAGTGTCAGGTCTAAGCACCTGAAACATCATACATACATACAGGGAAAGAAAGAAGGCACAGAGACAATTCATTTAGTTACTCACAAGGAGAGTAGGAAGAGACTGCTGAGTTTACAATCTCCACCCCACTCTGCCGGTCTTCAGCTTTCTCCTTGCTATTTATTGAAGAAAAGGGGATGTCCCTAATTACACCAGCTGAGGTTTAACTAAGGGGAAGGGAAACAAAAGGATCTTACTTTAAACCTCAGCACATATGTTAAAACAAAGCATGTGGTTGTTTTACAATTGAATTGTTCCAAGAACACATGTTTAGACTTCAGGCCTCTTTCACAACCCGTCCGTTGCATGTCCTTTATCTGGAACAATCTTAAGCAAGAGTTAATAAAAGATGAATCACACATCATGCATCATAATAGTTCATTAGAACACAACCCATGAAACACTAACAGAGTATAAATAAAATATTTCTAACAATCAGCCTCAGTCCTTTTGTTCTAAGCATCTCCATCCGTCCCCCCCACTGCTCTGCGTTCAGGTCCGGATCGTGGCGGGTCGTCCCATGCACTGCCAGGTTCCTGGCATAGAGTACACCATGGGGAAGAGAGCGGTGCAGACCATGCTGGAGGGAGCAACGGCCATTGCCCTGTCATACAACGGCATCCTCTACATCGCAGAGACGGATGAGAAGAAGATGCACCGCATTCGACAAGTAATCCATGTTCTCATATTTACTCAGCCCTTCCAGATTAGGCCTGGATTATCCAGATATTCCACATCAGAGTAAAGATGGAGCTGTTAATTTAAAAACAATTCTCGGACCAGGAATCCTAAGATCTTTTTTTTTTTTTTTTGCTTATCAGCTCATTCCTGCAGTTTTCTCCTTTCTTTTTCTGTCAACATGCCAGCTCTGCAAAAAAATTAAATCTAAATAAGTCATTTTTTTCTTAAAATAAGTGCATTCTTTCTTGAATTGAGGAGGTAAGTGAGACACTTTGCCAATAAGGCAAGACATTTTACATTTATAATAAGAAAAAACTATTATGTCTTATATAAAGTGTATATTATCTATTTATCTTTTCATTCCATTGGCAAACCATCTTATTTACCTGTTCAAATTAAGGGTAAATGCACTTAATTTAAGATTTTTTTTTACTTATTTCTAGATCGTTTTTGCAGTGATGCTGCTGTTTCTCATTTTTCATTGCTGCCCTTCTGCCATTTTTTAGGTGTCGACAGATGGAGAAATTACCCATCTTGCTGGTGCACTATCTGACTGCGACTGTAAGGTACAACAGAGTTACTGCAAACTTACTCTTACAGCCTAATTGATTTGTTTCTGTTCATAGACCATGTTTGACAATTAATTAGGAAAATACTTCCTCTTTATCTCTTCCTGTTTTTATTTTGTTTTGCTTTTTCCTTTGCAGAGTGACGCCAACTGTGACTGCTATCAGACAGGAGACGGCTATGCTAAAGACGCCAGGCTTAGCTGTCCCTCCTCTCTGGTGGTGTCACCAGATGGGACTCTGTACGTAGCAGACCTGGGAAATATTCGGATCCGGGCCATAAGGCGGAACCAGCCGCGCACCGGTATGAACCCCACAGAAAGAGTTGTTCTTGGTTTCCAGACAGCAGTGCTGCATTTTTTCTGAGGGGGGTCTGTGAGGGCTGCTCACTGAGCTATGAAATATTCAGGACTGAACCTAACAAAACCACCAGGGGGCGCCTGTGAGCTGGTGTTGTTGGTCTCCAGGTTTATACCAATATTTATGCACCTGGTTCTGTTGTTTCAGGTGTCTCCTCCAAGGGACAATCATTTAGCATATTTCCAGATTATCACAGTTAGGATGTCATATTTTATATTTAATTATGCTTTCATTCAGGAAGAAGACATTTTTAAAGGCACAGTGCCATCTAATGGATTAAAATGTTCAGATTTGTCCTTTTGGATAAGAAAAAAGGAATTTGTATCATTTTTGTATAGAAAAACTGACATATTTATTAGAATTAGCAAACAATACTCATTTTTTAAAGGACAGAAATGCCTGTGTATTATTTAGCATCATAGTGGGATCAGACCTGATGGCAGCGTGTCTGAGGTTGGTGCAGGGAAAGAAAGTCAGAGCAACATTAAAGAAGCACATCTGTCTAGTTCAACACGTTTAGCTGCTTTATTTACGCTTCTCTTTTATTGCATTCAGTTAAGAAGCGATGATTACATTCAATTTGTTTTAGCACATGTTGATGAAGGTGTAGGTGTCCCTGCTAGCTTCAGCTGCATTAAATCACTTAAGCAAATAGGAGGTAGCAAAGCCCAGAGGGTAGGAGGATTCGTTTATTACTGAATGAAACTGGTTCAGACCGATGAGGCAGAGAAAAACAAGTAGAAAGTTCTGGTTAAAATATCAACTGACAGAAAATCAGAAAGAGTTAAAAGGGGGCATTGCTGGCTCATAGATAGGAGCAGAACATGTTCATTCCCCTGGACTAAACGTGACTGCAGACTTTTGAGACTTTTTAATGTGTGCATCACCTTAAACACTGGAAAAACGATCTAGAAATGAGTAAAAATGTCTTAAATTAAGTATATTTACCCTTAATTTGAGTAGGTAAATGAGATAGTTTGCCAATGGAATGAGTATTTTTACTCTTAAAATAAGATAATTAGATAATATGCACTAGAAATAAGACTATGCAGTTGTGTTTTCTCATTTTAGATCTAAATTGTCTTGTTCCATTGGCAAAATGTCTGTTTACCTTCTCAATCCAAGAACAATTCACTTATTTTAAGAAATTATCTTAAATTATAATTATCTAGATTTTGTTTTCCCCAGTGTAATATATATATATATATATATATATATATATATATATATATATATATATATATATATATTCACATTTATCCAAGGGGGAGTACAGAGTTTTCCATAATTCAGAAGAAAAAGGGTCACTTATCAAGGCAATAACAGGTGGTTATTGTGTACATTTCTGTAAATACATTTTCAGTGTTGACCAAGGTCCAGACAATCTGGAATCTGGTTGATTATCTAGGATTATGGCGGCCTGTTCCTTGGCAACCAATTCCAAAAAGTCTTTCTTCCAATTCTGTGCATCAAAGCAATTACAGTTCCTTTCCTTTTAGTTCAACAATATTAAAGCTTTGGCTGCTAAAATGCCCCGTGATGTGATATAGTCCACGTTCTTTGATTTAGAGTCTTGAGTCTTTATTCCAAGTAGACAGTCCAGGAGACAAAGTGATATTTCCACATCTAGCATAAGAA